CCAGAAGCACAGGGACCACCCTGGGTCAGCAGGATCCCTTCCCTCTGGACCCTGGGAAATCCATCAGCCACCCCAGCAGGCCGTGCTGCCTCTGCTCACGCACTCCTGTTACCCTGTCTCGAATGATTTAAAGTTGTTTCCGCTGTCTGGGCTCCTCCTCCTTGTTCTTGAGATAATTCTCAAGATTTCCATTTTGCCAGATTCCTGGCCTCTCCCTGAACTTACTCCCTTGACTCTGTTTCTGCAGGAGCAGGACCCTCCCTGACTCACGCTCCCAGGAGCTCCAGCCCACCGCCTTCGCTCCACCACTCTGCCTCCTCCAAGAGCCCCTGCACACCCTCCTCCAGCTGCACTGTCCCTTCAGAGACACCCACCACCAGCCTGCCTAGCCAGGTCATTTGGATCAACACAGGCTGGGGAGCGTTCAGAGGAGCAGCTCCAGCCACCAAACCCAAAGATGCAATCCTCCAGCAAAGTCCTGCGGAGCTGAAATGCTCGGCACAGGGAGGGCAAGCCTCAACAGCCAGCAGCGATTGGCTGGCATCATCTCCAAAACAAGCACAGATGCCATCGGGCTCTAGGATGGATGAACTCAGGGGTGGGGAGCAAGTTGGTCTTTAGAGTCACTTCCAACCCAAACCTTTCTAGGATTCTAGGAACTCTCAGTCCATGGTCATCATCACCCAACCCACTGACACCTTCCCACTCCATTGCTCTCACTCCAAATCACTTGTGTAACTTCTCAGCTTGCTTTCCCTGCATGGGTGACATGGTCCAAGTCTGGTGATTTGGTTCCAGTTGGAATTGGCAAAGCTCAGCTCAGGTTAAGCTCAGCTCAAGACAGTGATAATGGTTTGACCTGTTTGGCTTCACTCCCACGGGGGCCCCCCCTCAACTCCTCATTTGGGCAGGATGGGCAGGGGATGAAGCAGCATAGGGATTCTCCATCTCTCCTGCCAGTGGCAATCTGTAGGGCCCACATCACAGCTGGGATTCAGGGATGCCCCTGAGAAAGGAAAGACTGGTCTCCAGGAAATACTAGAAGAGCCTGGGGATAAAACAAATAACAGCAATTGGGCACAGCAGCCCATCCTCCTTCCTGAATATCCATAGAGTTGGAAGTTGGTGGAGGAAGTTACAAACTGCTTTTTAGGATTCAGATACCCAAACAACACCTCAGCCCTTGTGCAGACAGAGTTGAGGTGGCTTGACATCACCAAAGGTCCAGAAGTGCTTTAGGACCATCAGGATGAGCCCAACAGGTAAGGTCCAGACTGCCCTGGGATCACCGAGATCCCTTGGAGAGCAGCCAGCTTTCCCGAAAGCACTGAGTCATCTTTTACAATTCACAAGAAATCCTTTGTTTATTTCTAGCCACTAATCCACTCATTAATTCCTGCTCCAGTGAAAGTTTGTACCTTATTACTGAGCTGGGCTTCACTGCAACTTCCACCTCTAGCATCTCACCCAGCCTGTCCCTCGTTCCTCCCAGGAGGTGGCAGTCACTTCCCAAGATGCAGGGACCAAAGAGGGGAGTCCCGGGGAGGGGATCCGGAGCGGGGTGCAGGAGTGCTCTGGGTAGCCAGGCTGGTGGCAGGGCAGGTGGTCGGGGGGATCTGGGGACATGGTCGGGTGGGCTTGCATCGAGACAGAGGACTGTGGGGCAGCCATACCTGGAATGACAGGAGTGGCAGGGATGTGACCAGTGAGTCACGTTGTGCCCCAGGGTTGGAACAGGGAGCTCCTGGGGTGGACCTGAGGACACTGAGTCACAAGGATGCTGTTCCACGAAGGACTCTGAGTCAGGAGGGTGCTGTTCCACGAAGGTGATGAGTTCCAGAGGTGCTGTCCCGGGAGGGACGCTGAGTCACTGGCCTGAGGTGTGCCAAGGTGTCAGTGATGTCATGGCACTGCCTGCGGGAATGGGAACAGGGAGGCAGCACCAGGGGAACTCAGCTGGCTGCAGGAAGGGCTGTGAGGGACAGAAGATGAGTCCAGGAGGTGATGGGGTGTGACAGAGAAACGGGAGACGTGTGGTGGGTGGAACCTGAGGTCTCTGGGTGTCTTGGATATGGTCAGGGTGGGAAGTCGCCAGTCAGGGGAAAGGAGCAGGTGACAATGGAGACAAGAGGGAACAAGGGGGAAGGGGAACAAGGAGTGAGGTCCATGAGTTGGGGGTGTGGATGTGGTTTGTGAGGCTGCTCAGAGGTGAGGAAGAGGCTGAGCTCAGCTAAGAACTGCAGCCAGAACACACACTGTGAATGAAGCCACTGGCATTTGGGATGGGGATAAGAAGAAATGGGAATATCACCAGTGTGGGAGCACCATGCCCCTATGAACGTGTGGAGCTGAGGGGCAGAGGGGGTGTGGAGCTCTGTGCAGCAGGAGCACAAAGGGAGGGTGGAGTCCATATGCTGGGAGTTCAGGGAAAAGGAGCATGAAGGATTTGGGATGCAAGAAGGATCTGCAATGGGGTGCGGGAGGGAGGGAGGGCAGCACGGCCCACAGGGGCTGCAGGGAGGATGGGAGGCAGGCGACACACGTGCAGAGGCTGGCAGTGATGCAGGAGCACACTCAGGGAAGCTCAGCCCCTGCCTTGGGGGCACATGTTCCCCCAGGTCCCTTTCAGGGACTCCATCAGGGCAGATGAGCTGAGCTCCAGTGTCCCAGCACCCCATCAGGGCACAGAGAGACCCGTGTCCCCAGGCAGGGGACAAGGACAGCACCCCAAGGAACTGCACCATCTGAGAGGAACGTCCTGTGACCCAGTGGGAGCCCGCCAGCACCAGGCCACGTGTCAGGACAAAGTCCAGCCTCACACCAGCACCGGCCATGGGACACTCCAGCCTGCCACTACCTGCTGCCACCTCTGTCCCCTGACGTGAGCAGGGACAGCCCAGGACATCCAACGCTGGCAACAGGCCCTGTGCAGACCCCAGCAGGGCCATGCTGGGTCTCAGCCAGCCCAGAGCTGTGGGGCTGGCACGGGGTGCAGATGTTTGCACAGCTGTGCTGTGACAGAGCCAGCCAGCCACGGGAAGGGGATGGGAAAAGCACCGGCAGACTCGGGGCTGGATCCGTACAGGTCAAGGCTGCAGAAGGCGAGGCCCGGTGGCCCCTGGGGCCAGCAGAACAAGGACAGGGGGTGCTGGCGCTGCTTCCTCAAGGAAGGTTCACTTAGTGGTGGGAACCATGGCGAGACTGAGAGAGCCCTTGCTGGAGGCCACAGCCCTCCCAAGGACGCCAAGCACGAGGGACAGGATTGGGCCCACGCTGGTGGCAGCAGGGGGGACAAAATGCCCATGGACAGTGACAGGAGCTGTCACAGCACTGCAGCGCCAGCCCGGGAGCCATCCCTGTGCCCTGGGGTGGGTGGCACGGTCGCTGCTGTCCCGGGCCGAGCCCTGGCCGCCCCCAGCCCCGCTCTGTGCTCTAACGCTCCGCCAGAAACCCCGAGCGCCTCCCGGGCGTGAGTGCGGAGCGCGGCGGGGTGCAGGGTCCGTCCCGCGGGCGGAGGGCTCCCTCTCGAGGGTCCCGGCCAGCACTGACCGGCCGCGGGCTGAGCTGTCCCCGCCTATGACACGGACAGGTCCCCAGGGAGGGACAGAGGAGGTGACGAGGCCACCAGCGCGGCCTCGGAGCGGCCACCGGCTCCGTCAGGGCACCGCATTTTCTTCCCGTCATTAATGAGCAGCTGAATCCGTCACTAATTAGCGGCTGGATCCGTCTGTTTCGCTCTGGGAACAGCCGGAGGCGATGGGCACGGCTGTGGCTTGTCCCAGAGCTTGTCCCTGGCCCTCGCAGCGACACCAAAGGTTAACGGGGACTCCCGCAGTGACCTCGCAGGGAGAGCCCTTGGAGGGATAACGAAGCTGGATACGGAACCTCACAAGCGTTGGGCACCTGGATCAGGCACTCCCGAGAATTGTGATCGGGAGGTGACATCCTGCCCCGCCCCGTGCATCGCGCGGGGTCCCAGGGCTGTTCTTGCTCTGAGCCAAACCCGAACCTCACCCAGGTCACACACTGATGGCACACCGCGAGCTGGAAGGACCCGGCAGCCATCAGCAACCCCAGCTCTCCGCTCCTCGCAGGAGCCAGCCCGCGCCTCCTCCCTCCCAGCCGCGGCCCGCTCTTGTCCCCTGTCCCTTGTCCCCACGGGGCAGCGCAGAATGACCCCCGGCCCGAGGGGCGGCACGGGCCGGTCAGGACAAGCAGGAGCTGCCTGGTAGCGGGTGGCCTCCTCGCCGGGGGCAGTCCTGGGTTGTCACTGCCGCACATGGTGCGACACGGCGGGCGCGGGTGGTGGCCACGATGGGTGACGGTCGGAGTGGAGGAAGGAGATGCGAGGGCAGGATGGAGATGACAACGCAGCAGCGCTGGGGTCGTGTGGGGCTGGGGCCAGGGCCCGGGCACGAGGTGACCTGTCCAGGACACTGTCCCCGCGCCTGGGACATGAGTGACGCAATGGGCACTGACCCCTGCAGGTGACAGAGCAGCAGGAACAGTGGACACTGCTGGAGACAGGGGCCCTGGGGCCCCCGGTGCCGCTCCCCGCGGGGATTCGGTGTCACGGCCCTGGGGTATTTGAGGTCACCATTGCTGGACTTGGTCAGTCCCCCAGGACACCTGACGCCTCCCTGGGCCATTGGTCACCACTCGGACGCTTGGTCAGGTCTCAGGACACCGGGTCCTTCCCCCCCCGCTGCCCGGCGCACTTGGTCGCTCCCAACGCCCCGAGGGGCAGCTCCGGCGGCCAATGGAGCGCGGGGGCGTGGCCGGGGCGGGCGCCCCCAACCAATTGGCCGGGGCGGGGTCGCGTGTTCTGTGGGGCGGTCCTGGGCGGGGCATTGTGGAAACGCGCTTGGGGGCGTGTCCTGGGCGAGCAGAGAAGCTCGCCATGAATGAGGCACTGGGGGCGCGTCGCGAGCGGGAGGCGGAGCCAGTGTTCTTTAGGGGCGTGTCCGGGGCGGAGCCTCCGGCTCAATCGGCGCGGGGGGGCGCCCGGCGCGGGTTAGTTGGCCCGGACGGTACCGAGCGGTACCGCGATGGGGCTGCCGGCTGCCGTGCGGGACCGCGTGGCTGCGGTGCACCGGGGCTCGGCGCTGCCCGAACGGCTGCGGCTCTACGACGGCTGGGCCGCCCTCTACGAGCAGGTACCGGGGACACAGAGGGAACGGGGCCGGGGCCGTGGGTGTCCCCGCTGACCGCCGTGTCCCCGCAGGATGTGGCGGCTCTGGAGTACCGGGCACCGTATCTCGCCGCCGCCTCGCTCGCCTTCGCCTTCCCCGCGCCGCGTGCGGAGGCGCGGCTGCTCGATGTGGCCTGTGGCACCGGGCTCGTAGCGCGGGAGGTACCGGCGGGACGGGCCGGGGGTAACGGGACGGGACGGGGCGGGCCGGGACGGGCCGGGGGTAACGGGACGGGACAGGGCGGGCCGGGCCGGGTGTAACGGGACGGGACAGGGCGGGCCGGGCCGGGGGTAACGGGACGGGACGGGCCGGGGATAACGGGACGGGACGGGGCGGGGCGGGAGTGACGATGCCTCTGTCCCCGCAGCTCCACCGGCGCGGGTTCCGCTGCCTGGACGGCGTGGACGGCAGCGCGGGGATGCTGGAGCGGGCGCGGAGCACCGGGCTCTACCAGGAGCTGCAGCTCTGCGTCCTGGGCAGGGAGCCGCTGCCCGCGCCCGCAGGTAACGGGAGGGGGCGGACCCCCGGGACCCCTCGGTGACACCCACGTGTCCCACGGGTGACCGGCCGGCACCGGGCGGGGGAGCCCCGGACGGTCCCCCGGTGATGCCCCGTGTCCTCGCAGAGCACTACGACGCCGTGACGGTGGTGGGGGCCCTGGGCGAGGGGCAGGTGCCGAGCACGGTGCTGCCGGAGCTGCTGCGGGTCACCAAGCCGGGTAAGGGGGGGCCGTTTCCCCTCCACGCCGGGACCTCCGGCGTGCTGGGATGGGACACCGAGCCCCGGTGGATGTGGGTCCTTCACTGAACGCTGGACCCGTGGCACAGCTGGAACACGGCCTTGTCCCTGCTGCCAGGGACGGGCGATTCACGGGGTCCCTGACCCTGCCCACTGCCAGGTCTGGGCAGCGGGACAAGGTAGGAGGTGGCAGTAAGGGTGTTGGTGTGTGACAGCCTGTGCTCAGGCGGGACATCCCACCCATCCCCTGCCGGCCCCCTGTGCTGCCCATCTCTGCCTGCTGTCCTGCCTATCCCCTGCCCACTGCCCTGTCCGTGCCCTGTCTGTGCCCGTTCCCTGCCCTGTCCGTCCCCTGCCCGCTGACTCCTGGCAGGCTCTCAGTGCCTCCCCGTGTCCCCACCCTTTCCGGGGGATGCAGTCCCCAGAGAGGGAAGCTCTGTGTCAGTGTTACCTGTCTCCTGTCCCGCAGGCGGCTTCCTGTGCCTGACGACGAGGAGCAACCCCTCGAACCTGCGGTACAAGGCGGAGCTGGAGGCAGCACTGGGGCAGCTGGAGCAGAGAGGAGCCTGGCAAAAGCTGCTGGCCCAGGAAGTGGAGTATTGGGAGAGGGCCACCTCCGAGGAGGAGAGCACCCAGGGCACTGGCTACATCTCCGGGGTGGTCTACATCTACCAGAAGTGCCCTGTTCCCAACCTCGAGGAGGGCTGAGAGCTAGCATGGCTCTGGAGGGGGGGTGAGCACTTGACCCTTTGTAAAACAGAGCCCAGTGGCCCCCTCCTGCAGCAGGGCAGCTGCTGGGGGTGACAATATTCTGAGGGAATTTCCCCATTCCCTTCCTTGGTTCCTTCTCACTAAGGTCTGGGCTTGGGGCCCTTGTCTGCTGCACAGCATGGGAAGGGTTTCCTGGATTCACCAGGGTCTCCTGGGTGCCACCTTTAGCTCTGACATTTAGGTATTGACCCAAACACCTCAGCGTTCACCGTGACATCTCACAGACCCACATGTCTGTTCCAAGGCATGTCCAGTCTGGGATTTCTCCCCACCTTGCCCATCTCAGTACTCATGGTCAAAATCTGGATCCTTCTTCATCTCCTACCCCCAGAGTCTTTAGCTGGGGACTGCTGGAGGTGGGTCCACACTGCTGTGTCCTATGGCCTCTCATCCTCCCTAGGGACTGAGCCAGCCCTGAGGTGCAGGAGCCTCCACATCCAGAGTCAAAGCAGCAATGCCAAGGTGACTCCCAGCTGGAGAGGCTTTCCAAGTGCCACATCTGCCTTGCATCCCACAACAGCTGCTTGATTCTCATTTTCCCACAGCTTTGTAGTTAATGTTCAGGGAGGGGAAATGAGTTTGGAAGGGATTTGGGGAGCTGGCAGCTGCTCCCCACCCAGGAGCCATCCAGCACTGCCTGCCCAGCCTGTTCCCCCAGCCCCTTGCTGGGCTGCCTTCACAATTCCTCCTCCACTGCTCCCTTGGGAAGTTTTTTACCCAAATCTCTTCCTGGAATATTTGGTTTTTTTCATTTTTCCCTTCCCTCAGACCTGTTCCTGCTTATCCTGTTCCCATGTTCCTGGAGAAGAGGTTGCATCCTTCCCCTCAGGAGCTGTTCTCAGTGTGAGGCAATGGCTGTGTCTGTCCCTGTTCCTCACCCAGGGCATCCCACATCTTCCACACTCGCCCTCCCCATGGCTCTTGTCACCCTTCTGCTTTGTCCCCCATGTTTTGGGGTCCCTGTGCCCATCAGTAGCTGTCCTACTGCTCCCTCCCCACTTGTCTCCAACACTGTCCCCTGGGCAGCTGGGGGTTGTGGCTGTCCCCAGCCCTACACTTGCCTGTTCAATAAAGCCCTGTCCCTGCTGACTATCGGCTGTGTGTTGTTCCCAGAGCAATGGGAATGTGCACCCTCCAGGGTGGGTAGCCAGGAGCTTGGGAGGGGGGATTCCGCCTTTATCTGGGGTCCTCTCCCAGTCCATGGGGGCTCAGAGCACCTGGTGTCCCCCCATGCCTCTCTTAGCTCTCAGCATCCTCTCCCTGCCTCTGTTTCCTGCTGCAAGGAATGCCAGGAGCTGGCTGACTGCTGCTGATCCCCTTGGGAAGATGGAGATGTTCTAGGTGCTGGAACACAGCAGCTGGCAGGGCACAGCACCCCCAGGACGCGTCACCATCCTCCCCACACCGCGCTGTTCAAAATGAGCCCAGGCAGCCTTGGTGGCACCAGGATGTTTATAGTCCCTGCCCTGGGGAAGGGCACATGTGGGGACCGTGCTGGGGGTCAGCCAGCATGGGGATGGGCAGGAGGAGGCAGTGCAGGGCGAGGGTGTGGGACGGGGATGCAGGACAGGGACAGTGGTGCTCTGCCTTGGGCTGGCACCTGGGCACAGTGGCTCACACATAGTCCTTCATGGCATAGCCCATTGGGCCACAGGTTTTCACTGCCCTGTACTTCTTGGGGTAGGGGTCCTGCTGGGACTGGGATCCTGAGCAGCACAGGACACCCCCACCGAAGAGCTGCAGGGCACTGGAGGCCCAGCCGATGTAGAGGGCAGCCCCCAGCTCTCTCTTGAGGGCCTCAGGCACCATGGGGTTGTAGAAGTTGCTGACGATGCTGTTGGCAGACCAGGAAACAGGGATGAGCAGCATGATGCTGGCCATGATGAAGATGACACCTGCCACTGCAGAGATCCTGCTCTTGGTGCCGTTGTCATCCACACAGCGGGTGCAGTCAGCTCCCGAGAGGGCGATGAAGAAGGCAAGGCAGGCCACGAAGATGGAGGTGACCACCAGGGCACGAGCAGCTTGCAGGTCAGAGGTGAGCTCCAGCAGCGAGTCGTAGGCCTTGCACTGCATCTGCCCCGTGCTCTCATAGACGCAGTTCATCCACAGCCCTTCCCAGAACACCTGGGCCACCACAATGTTGGAGCCGATGAAGGCCGTCACCTTCCACATGGGCAGGGCACAGGTGAGGATGGAGCCCAGCCAGCCCAGTGCGGCCATCATCAGTCCTCCCGTCTGCATCGTCATCATCGCCATCAACAGCTCCTGCGGGGACAGGCACGGGTGTCACAGGCACAGCCCACAGCCAGGGACAGCATGAGCTTCGTCTGGTACGTCCTGCTCCCCCCCAGGATGGGAATGGCTGCAGGACAGCATGGGGACATGGGGGACACAGGGACTTGAAGGGCACAGGGACACGAGTGGCATGGGGCGGTGCTGCAGGACAGGATGGGGACATATGTGGTACTGAGGACCCAGGCCCCAAGCAGGCCAAGGTGCAGGAGCCCCCATGTGTCACACTGGCCCCTACACTGTCCCCACAGTGCAGCACAGCCTCTGCCATCACCCCTTTCCAGGCCATGGCAAGTGTCAGGGAAGGCATGGCTTTTGGGGGGCGGGATGGGGGGCTAGGTGGGCCCATCCCCCAGTGCTGCAGAGTGCAAACCCCCCACCTCACACTCATCCCATGTCCTGCCCTGGTGGCCACCCCCCGGTGCCCAACCCATGTCCCACTCCACCACAGGTGCTCAGCCTCCCTGGCCACAAACCTTGTGCCAGGGGCACAGGGAAGGGCACAGGGCACGGCAGGGAAGGCAGCCCCCCACACCACTCAGCACTGCCTGCTCCCGTTCTGGCTTTGCCCTCACAGCCATCCTACGGTGCCCTTTGGACCCAGGATATCCTCTCCAGGAGAAAAGGGAAATGGGTCAGAGCTGAGCTCTGCCCCGATCCCAGGTCTGGGACTCGGACCTTCTGCGATACCATCCCAGAGAAGCCCAAGGAGCAGCCCCAAGAGGGCAAACCCTGGTGAGGGGCTATGGGGTCACCACACGTGGCATCCCTGGGAGAGGGGTGGTTGGTATAGGGACACATGCTGGGCACACTGGCAGCTCCACCATGGCCACGTGTGACTGCTGTGGCCCTGGCTCAGCCCATATCCAGCTCAGCCCCTCAAGGAGCAGAGTTCACCCCCGGGTGCCCGTGCTGTGCTTGGCAGCTGGGACCAGCTGGGGTTTTATGGCCCCGAGCTCAGCGGGTATCGGTTGTGCCTGGCACACCCTGTGGCTCCTGCCAGAGGTTTCACCATCATTTCCCCTGTCTCAGTTTTGGTTTCTCCAGCCTCTCCTCTCCCACTGTATCTCCACTCCTTACCCAGCACCTTTTATCCCTCAGGAGCTTGATGGACACCCAGCACTGGACTTGGCATCCTCCGGGCCATGAAAGACCCTTTGGGCCAAAATCACAGCCCCTTCTCCCATGCTGCAGGCAGGCAGGGGCCGGGATGGTGGGCACCATCCCAGGCACCCTTCCCCAGCCAGCGGGACCTGGCCACACAAGACATCCCAAATAGGGCCTACGACCGCCTGCAGGGGGACAAGTGGTGCCTCCACGGATCCCCAGGGATGCTCGACAGGGCATTGAACTCACATTCTCACCTGCCCACCGGCACCACAGGGTTACAGGCATATTTTCCACCATTCCCGGGCCCAGTGAAGGGACTGAGGAGCTGGGAGCCTTCCAGCCCTCAGATCCAGAAGAGATACCCAGACCTAGGCGTAGTCACCCCCGTCCCCGCAAACCACGAGGTGGGAAGGAAGGATGTTCCCAAGGCAGAGCAGCGCTTGCCGTGCCGGAAGCGAGATAGGCAAAGCAGCCGGCGCTGCCCACGCCGGCCGCGGGGCGCTCCCAGCCGGGGCTGGGGGGTGGCACCGGGGCCAGCGCGCCCCGACCCGCCCCGGCCGGCGCCCGCCACCTTCTTCCCGTTCGGGTGGGGAGATCGCAGCGGGTCAGGCGTGGGACAGGCGTGGGACAGCCCTGCACCCCGTCCGGCGCCGCCAAGGCTCTGTGCCGCAGCAGCAGCCGCTGTCACCCCCGGAGCGGCCGGGGAGGGGCACGGGGAGGGAACGCCAGGGCTGGAACAGGCGGCGGGAATCTCAGGAGACTCCGAAGAACAGATTTGGGTGATCTCTCGGGAGGACGGGAGCCCAGGGCACAGGAGCACCGGGGCTGCCCCACCACCGAGGCGGGTGTTGGAGAGCGTAAAGAACACGAGGCACAGCGGGGTCTGAGCAGCTGCCGTTTAATGCGGGAAGGCTGAACACGGGCAGGGACGGCAGCACAGTCAGGGGTACCATGAGACTGCGCTCCCGGCCCCGGGCGTCCCACTCTGGGGCGATGGATGCGGTCGGGTCCGGGAGACGCCCCCCAAGACGCGGGGGCACAGCCCCGCTCCCGCCCTGCCTCCCCGACCGGTTTTCCCAGCACGGCCGCTGCCTTCCCACTCCCAGGATAATGATGCCCCCGCCCTGGGGAGCTGCCGCGAGAAATCACACTCTGTACGGCCGCTCCGAGCCCCGAAAGTAGGTCAAAGTCAAAATTTAGATAACAGGCAGGTGACAGCCCCTGTCACCCCTCAAGACCCTGCCGGGGTTTGCAGAACCACTACGTCCCTGTGACCACGTGGGACAGGTTCGCGGTCCCTATCAGCACCGACACCGCCACCCACCCCGAGGGACAGACACGTCCCGGGGAGCTTCACGCGGGGAAAGAGAGCCCTGTGCCACCCGTGGGACGGGCTCCTGGGAGCTGTGTCACCACATGGCACACCCCGATACCGGGAGCCAGGAAATGCTCGAGGAGGAGATCAGGTGATGTCTCGGAGAAGATGCCTCAGCTGGATGCTCCGGGGGGAGCAGAGCCCCCACCGCGGACAGCCAGGACAGGATCTCCTTGTCCCCTGTCTCAACCGCGATTAGAGAACCGGCTTCAACCCCGGTGGAACAAAGGCGGCTCTGTCTGCCTTCCCTCGCACCGCTCCGGCGCCCGGCCAGTCCCAGCCCAGCCGGGGAGGTTGCGTGTCCTGGGAGGTCCCTGTGCCCTGGAGCGGCCGGGGGGTCCAGGCAGGCGCGGCGCCTCCTACACGTAGTTGCTGGCTGGCAACGAGCGAGCAGCCGTGAACTTGGCCGAGTAGGGCTTCTCCCCGCGGGGGGGGCAGGTGCAGCACAGGATCCCCCCCCCAAGCAGCAGGAGCGCCGAGGCCGCCCAGCCCACGTAGAGGGACGAGCCCAGGTCCCGCTTCTGCGAGTCAGAGACCAGCGGGTTGTAGAAGTCCTGGATGATGCTGTTGGCTGACCACGAGATGGGGATGAGGATGAGGATACCGGCGACGATGAAGATGATGCCGGAGAGGATCATGACCTTGGCTTTGGCAGTGTCATCCTCCACACAATTGGTGCATTTGCCACCGGTGACGGCCAGCAGGGTGCCCAGGATGGCCAGGACGATGGCCACCACCACCATGGCACGGGCGGCTTGCAGGTCCTGCGGCAGGGCCAGCAGCGAGTCGTAGACCTTGCACTGCATCTGCCCTGTGCTCTGCACCACGCAGCTCATCCACAGCCCTTCCCAGATGATCTGCGCCACCACGATGTTGTTCCCGACGAAGGCCGTCTCCCGCCACATGGGAAGCGCGCAGCAGAGGATGGAGGCCAGCCAGCCGATGACAGAGAGGGCGATGCCCAGCACCTGCATCCCCATGGAGGCCATCGCTCGCTGCCTGTTCCCTGCCCGCCTCCCGCCGCGCAGTGCCGGCTGCCGGGACCATGGCAGGCATTTTATGCCTTTGCCGAGGGAGGAGCGCTGCCGCAGCCGCCGGCCTGCCGCCGGCACTGGACGGAGGGGTAGAACCAGTTTCCCGGGATTCTTCCACTTGTATTTCTCCCTGCAGTGATGACACTTAATATCCCAGCTGCTCCCACGGAGGAGGATGCAGGGGACTGGAACCAGGCCACCCAGGTGCAGGAGTGCATCCCATTGCTGTGGGCAGGCAGGACATGCCCAGGGCAGCATTGGGGCTCAGCCCGGGATGCTTAAGGGGAAGAGCCAGTGTCCAGGCACCAGGATAGCTCTGCCATCCCTGCCAGAACCCTCTGCTCCATCACTTGGATGGGGTCCCTTCACGTCTTCATGCCTCAACTTCCCTCCAGCTCATAGCCCAGCCTCTGGCCCCCCATGGCCCCATGCCGGGGGAGGAGCACATTGTTCCCTCTGGCCGCTGGGCTCCATGCCCGGCAGGACACAAGCGGCTCTTGTTTGCTCCTTGGCATCCATACCAGCACTTGCAGCCCTCCATTAGGCCTCGGGCAGGAGGTGCCACCGCCCAGACCCACAAACCGGTTGGAGCGGCTGCCATTTCCCCACAAAGGAGAGACGGCACTGCCTGGGGCAACAGGGGGGGAGACCCCAAACCCAGCTGACCTGTGCTTCAGTGCCAAGCCAGGGTTCACACAGCCACCCTCAGCCCCAGCTCTGCCCATGTCCCACTGCCTGTGTGGTGGGGTTGGGTGGGTTGGGGCTACGAGGGGCAAATGCAGCCTCGAGCTGTCCCAGAGCCACACCCACTGATCCCAGTGCCGGTGCCAATACCAATGCCAACACTGATGCCCTGCTGCTGCTGACCTGTCCTCTTTTAATCCATGACTCCCACACGGGCTCCCTCCCTACTCCCTCCAAGCCCCTGCACAGGCACAGCACAACACCAGACAGACGGCACAGACAGACAGACGGACATTGCACTGTTTCATCACCCTAGCTTAATCCTGGGCCCCAGGAAAAGATAAGAGGCACTGAGATAATCTTAGTTTTCCTGAGCACTGGGTTACCATCACGATTCAATCATTTGTTCTTATTGCTTGGTGTGACGGACTCTGGAGCTGCTACTGCTCGTGCCAGGATGTCCCTGGGCATCATGCCCCAGTGTGGTGGGACAAGCCTGGTGGCCCATGCACTATGGTGCCAGGAGGATGCCTGGGGACACTCATGTCTCACAGCAGACCCCAGCCTAAGGAGATGTTCATGGTCCTGCCTGCCTGACTTGTGCCAGAGGAGCTGCCCAGGCTCTGTCCCTCTGTCCTGCTGGAGCGCCCACATTGTTCACATACCAGTGTGTCTACCCTGCGGCCAGAACCTTGTGGTCAAGGGCTCCCTTTAATCTACAAGGCTCCGGAGCATCCCCGCCGGGGCCAGACTCTGCCTGA